TTAGAAGTGAAGAAATATGTATTTGCTTTTAAAATTGAGTAAATAAAGATCCTCTGCAGTTTTAAAAAAAGCTCGCATTATATCTCTGTCATTCCTTTAAATTTTGATATTTGAGATGTTGCATGAATGATGAGATTAAGAATTGCACAAGATGAGATCCGTTACCTACGAAGAGGTGACTGGCTGTCACTTATGCCAGTTGCTCAGTAAGTGGGGACTTTTGTAGGCTTAAATAGAAAGTAACATTATATATGCTTTATAGAGATATTAACAGTGTAAAGTCATGGCTGGTGACAAACGAAAAAGCTTACCTTGATCTCCTACAAGGAGGTTTTATCTATCAAAGGCTTTATCCCTCGTGCTGCAAGATACACGAGTCTCTTGTAATGTTAAAAAAAAAGGATCCTCTTCCTTGGGAACTTGCTCAAACCCAAGTCATTCAAGAACTGAAAAAGATTGCCCAAGCTCCACCAGCCTTAAAAATTGATGGAAATGGGAAAAGTATTCTTCAAACAGATTCTAGTGACCATTATTGGGGAACAATATTCATTGAAGAAGAGAAAAATAAGAAATACTATTGTGGGCATGCTAGTGGTCAATTCAAAGAAGTAGAAACACATTATCACACCATCTTCAAAGAAGCATTGGCAGTAAAAAATGGCATAAAGAAGTTTGATTTTCATTTGAGAGGGCATCACTTTGAAGTTCAAATGGACAACTCATTTCCAAGGTTCCCGAGTTCAAAAACAAAATGCCTTCAGATCCTCAAATACATATTAAAGGATTGGTTTTTGTGATATGATTTCTCAGTCAAACATATTAAGGGAAACTGCAACCTAATCCTTGATTTCCTCTCCAGACCAAGGAAATCTATCCAATATATTTAAGTCTCTCGTGTTTTCCCTCTCATATTCATGGTAAAACATTTACCTTCAAAAGCCAAAAATGGAATGGTCTATCCTCCGAGGTTATCACCAATTTCCCCTGCTGAAATCCTTAAATATGCCAAAACAATGATTTTTTCTTTCCTCCATGAAACCATGAAATACAAAGATTCTCCTACAAACATTTTTATTCCAGAAACATGATTTAGACGAATCTTTGAATTATTCTATGGCACCGGATGGGATATTTGTGAACCAACTCTTTGGTTAATTTGATGCAATATCATCCAATATTCTATCCTCATTCTATCTCTAGACCAAAATGGCTTACAACATTTTCACTGATCCTGACAAAGATGATTATTATTTCTGGACCTTGTTAGAATGATTTTCTTCTTTATCATGGTGGCGAAAATAATTAAAAATAACTACAGAATTTGAAGTACTGAGAAGATTGTCCCAAGTTTCTCTTAATTCTTTAGTTTCTGTATTCATCATCCACAGTCCATATTTCAAGGATCCAGCTGGGTTGTTATGGTCTAAAAATGAAGCATACATGTGTGGATCTTTTGAAACTTATCCATTAAATGAGAGTTACAAGATTCAACTAGCCCAACATTTATGTTAAGTAAATAATTATCACCCTAAACCCTTGATCCAAATCTTGTCAGTTCCTCTCAAAGACCACTCAACTTTTATCCCCTAGATATAATTGTCCCAAAAAAAGATAACACTTAGCAGATAAGGGATTTCAAGTCTGTCACATAAACCTTCCAAAAGATTGAAGGCTTGATTGATAATTGCAATGAAGAACTAATGGATGAAAGTAATGATTCACAAGCAGATATATAACCCACTAGTTGGGATTATGACTCGCAGGGGAGCGCAATGTTCAGTCTCCACTCGCTCTGACTAAAATAATGTTTGAATAAGTGAAAGAATCTAATTACTGGTAGACTCACTGTCTTACTAAAATATATCACTTTCACATATTTTGTTTTTCTTTTAGTCATGTTTGTTTTTTATTTTGGCATGATGGTGTTCTTTTTATTTTATTTGAATTCCAAATTGTATAAAATGTGTTTTGGTGTCTGGGTTAATGGAGTTTAAAGTTCATAATTAAGTCTGAAGTTTGAAGTCCACATGTAGGGGTTCTTTTATAAAAGGGAACATTTTCCATTTGTATCATCATCGATTCTTGAATAAAAGTTTGATTGTTATATATTTTCTATATCCTTTTTCTAAATTTTCTCTTTTCTGTAAAAGTTGGAGATATATAACTTATATTATCTCTTCTCTACATAAATACAAGTTTGCTCTACACTCGTCTTTGTAGAAGATTTTGTATATAAAAAAGTTTCTGACTCGTGAACCATTTAAGATTTAAGATAATAATATGTCGGATATTTGAGATAGAACTAAAAGCGAACATTTAAGCCATGGAAGCCTTGTATTGTAAAAAAAAAGAAAGCTTATTACAATCTCTTACGAAGAAGTTTTATCCAAAAAGAGAATATGATAATAGTACAAGTTATGTACGAGAAACGAACAAAGAGAAAACAATCAGACATGACCATATTTTTTACGATAGTGACAAACAAAACATTTTCTTTTTATATATATTTGTCTTTTCAACCATATAAACGCTTAGATATTAATTTTAATGATTAGATTATTAAAATCATATTTTAAAATTCATTGGAATGATTTAACTGTAGTAAAAGAGCTTGGATGTAACTTTTTCAGTAGAATTTGTCTGTACTTTCTTTGTTAGTGCAAACGATCCAAATTTGTTTTTTTGTTTCTTTATCTTCTAAACGTCATCTCAAAATTAAGAATTGAACAACACTTTAAAGAAGAGTAATTATGACTAACCATTTACCAGATAAAAGTGAGTATGGAAATTATTCCTTCCATTTCTCTCATCCTCTTCTTCACCTAGAATTAGAAGGTCGTGTTATAATTCAATATGTAAGATCACTTTACAGGTTTGAGTTTGAGGTTTATTTTGTGAAAAGTGACAATGATGAATAAAGTGGTATGTTACTTTACTTCTATAAATGAACGGTTTTTAAGTAAGTTCTCTTTTTAAAGGAAGGTTTAAACCTTGATTTGGTCTTTGTATTTGTGTGTTAATCTCAAGTGGATCATTGTTTTTTTTTCGGTCTCAATCAGATCCTTAAATTTGTTAAAATGAGCCAATTAAGTCTTCTCCGTTAATTTATCAGTAACGTCGTTTGCATGTGCTGAGTTGTAATTTGTTTTAGTTGACGAGACATTGTTTATTAAGTTTGATTGGTGTTGTGTTGTGTGAATAGATTGCCACGTGTGATGTTGTTAGCCCTAAAACTTAATATTTAGAGTAACCCTGATTTCAAAAGTGTTTAACATCTCCGTTTTTGTTAGGAAGAGTTCTGGAAGCACTGTTGAAGTGACGAAATGTCTGGTTCTTCTTCTTCTTGCAAATGGACGGGTTGGGGCTTTCAACATAGTTCTGCTAGTGGGAGCAGGTTGGGTGTAAAACCCAGTTGCTTTTGTGGTCAGAACCCCTAAAAATAAGGGCAAAAGATTTTGAGGGGTCATTCAAGGAACAATATAGAAGAATCTATGATTATGGTGATGAACTTCTCAGAGCAAATCCAGGTTCAACAGTCAAAATAAAGGTTGAAAATAGTAATGATGAGTGTATATTCAATAGAATTTATGTATGCTTGAAAGCATGCAAAGATAACTTCATTAGTTGTAGACCCATCATTGGATTGGATGACTGTTTTTTGAAAGGCAAGTATGGAGGGGAGTTACTAACAACAATCTGAAGAGATGGCCGAAATGAACAAATTCTGCCCATTGCATATGCTGTTTACTAGTTAGGGCAACCCCAAAATCTTTTACCCTTGTTTTTAGGGGTTCTGGCAACGCGGAAGACTGCATGCCGACCACAAAAGCAACTGGGTTTTACACCCAACCTGCTCCCATTGGCAGAACTATGTTAAAAGCCCCAACTCGTGCATTTGCAAGAAGAAGAAGAACCAGATATTTCGTCACTTCAATAGTGCTTCCAGAACTCTTCCTAATGAAAACAGAGATGTTAAACACTTTGGAAATTAGGGTTGCTTTAAATATTAAGTTTTAGGGCTAACAACATTACACATGACAATCTATTCACACAACACCAATCAAATTTAATAAACAATGCCTCGTCAACTAAAACAAATTACAACTCAACATAGGCAAACGATAAATTAATGGAGAGAGCTTAATTGACTCATTTTAACAAGTTTATGGACTCGATTGAGACCAAAAAAAGAACGACGACCCACTTGAGATTTGCACACAAATCCGAGGACGAAATGAGAGTTTAAACCTTAAATGAATATTGTATAATCTGAGATGATAAAGAGAAATTGAAAAATTTTAAATATTAATTTCAAGTAATAATAATTGTACTCCTTTTCTTTTTATCCATTTTTAATTAACTTATATATTATTTAATGAAACATAAAACTAAAGAGGCTGAAATTTTCATCACCATTTTTAATTCTCATTTGCGGTAGATTTAATAAATTTATTTAAATAAAGTACCTGGATTATTACTTTTTTATATTTTACATTTTAATTTATAATATGAAAGAAAAATATTGTAAGAAAATATACATTACAAATTTGTGTAAAAGAAAAATAAAGGAAAGTGTAATCTATAAAGATATATAAAGAAGATTCTCTCATTTAGTTTATACAAATTATATTTCTATATTACTTTTAATTATATTTTAGAATTAAAAATATTCAAATATTAAAATTAATTGTACACACTACAATACATATAACTGATCTTTGCTATATACATTTCTTTTTCTCTTTCTGTCAACACAACTACTTTTACTATGTTTATTTTTATAAAAGTAATTAATTTTATTAGGAAGAATTACACATTATAAAATTTAATAAAATATAACTATTTCATTATTATGATTTTTATAGTTTCTAAAGTAAGAAGATGACAGTTAGAAAAAAAGAAAAAGAAAAAAGGAAAATATTGATAACTGTGGAGTTACCAATCAATTAGAAACCGTTGAATATGGGAAAAGGTTGTCAAGTGAACTTTAATCATGGGAAAAACGCAAAAGTGGTCCACCTGCCATGGTTGGAGGACAGTTAACCTAATGAATGAAATCTAAAGTGAAAGAGTTAAAGAGAGTACAAATTGGTAAACCCAAATATTAGCATATACAGAGTGTACACCGTCTAAATTAAGAAAGCAAAGAGATAGAGAAAGTTGTGAACTTTTCAGAAATGGGTGCTGCGGAATCAGTCTCGGAAAATTCCATCCATGAATTCTCGGTCAAGGTAGAGGAGATACTCAGAATCTCAACATCAGAAAACCCTTATTTTTTTATTATTTGATTTTGGAAACAATTATAGAAATCTCTTACCATATGGTTCATGGTTGGCACAGGATCCCAAGGGAAGAGACGTGAACCTCACCACCTACAAGGGGAAGGTTCTGCTTGTAGTTAACGTTGCTTCAAAATGGTATTTTTTTACGCACCCTCTTTATTCTAACTCGATTTTCTTTGTGTTTGGTATAAAAATTCAACCTTTCTTTCTCCTTTTCCTTTTATTGCTCCTGGGTTAACTGATTAACTCTGTGGGTGTGAATTGCAGTGGATTTACGAATTCTAATTACACCCAGTTAACTGAGCTTTACGGCAGATACAAAGCCAAAGGTACTGTTTTTTGGTTTAGTTGTTGGGCTTGCATGTTCGTGGATCCTAAATTTGTGTATTTTCAGTGACCAATTACTTTTGAACTTGGTTAGATTGAAGGGCTTGAAAAGGAATCTCTTTAACTGATCATACTTGAGAGTGTTTTGTTGGTTGATCTCAGGTCTTGAGATACTGGCATTTCCATGCAATCAGTTTTTGAAGCAACAGCCGGGGAATAGCCTGGAGGCAGAGCAATTTGCCTGTACAAGGTACAAGGCCGAGTATCCCATTTTTGGAAAGGTATGTATGATACTGGTTGTCTGTGTAAGGCATTTGGCTGCTCTAATGCTTGATTTTGTGCCCTAGATGTTTGAATAGAAAAACGATACATTGATTTTTTGGTTTGCTGTTCTAATTTTATTTTGTAATCAAATGCCGATTGGTGCAGTAGCTTTAAGTTGGTAGTCATTAGTATTTTTCAAATGGGAAGGAATAACAAGCCCTATTGCTTGAGTCCACTAAATACAACTTAGGATCTGTTAGTTGTTAATTCCTAATACTAGAGAACGGTCTGCACCCGTTGATGGTATTGATAGTGAAATAAGGTTCAAAACAATTGTAACAGTAAACCGGGAAAAGTAGCAGAACGTAAATGGCTTCACCAAACAATTATACTTTTCTAAAATAAGAATTAAGCTGTGACAATAACGAGGTTGCAGCCACCGTTGCACTCCATTTGCTTGACAACACAATTTTTCTTCCAGACAAAGTGACATAGCGAGTATTTGAGACTCTCCTCCTGCTGCTTTTTCTTGGTTCCATGATTCCAGGATTGGTTGCCACCCGTCCCCTCCATGTAACTAACTTTGAATTTGTCTCATTGTGCACTAGACCTTCCATGTGGGCATCCCTTTCAGCATTTGCATTAGTAGCCGACTCAGCACTATTTTTCTTACAAGATCCTTTAAAAGTTAAAACTGTGATCTAGACATCTAGTTCTGTGTTATTTTTATTATTTATTAGGCCTGGAGAACAGACGAATAATTTGGTTAATGGAGTGAAAAGGTGTGTGATAGAGGTAGGCAACTCTAAATAATTCTGAGTTCTTGAGACGTGAGCTGCTGCTGTGGAGTTTCATGTAAAGGATTGCTTAATGGTATTAGCTAAGTAACAAAACAATGAGATAAATATTTCGCTGTAGGCTGAGAGACATGATTGGGATTTGAGCATGCAAATGCTACTATGACAAGTTGGCAACACGGACTACATTAGTAAACTTTTGGCACTTTTGGCAGTGGGAGGTATTGTTGCAATACTTTGCTTAATGCAGTGCCATGAGTAGTGCAGATTGAAGCGATGACAGGATTTCCTTGGTATGCTTTCCGATGGAAGTTTGAAGGGTTACTACTCTGAAGCTAAATATATGACCAGGATTAAGGATTAAAAGGAAAATAATAAAAAGGTATCTGGATTAGAAATAAATCTACAATTTGCAATCTTCCTGGACTTAGAATTACTAATTAGTCGCCATGCCTGTTATATGTTTGTCTTAGACATGGTCTGCATTAATTCACACGAACACTAGGAAGATGTAAAGAAAATGATAAAGAACCAAAGAAGTTAAAAATAAAAGTATCAATAATATGCTTGAAAAGGGTGGACAATTAGCTAGAGCAACTGGTGTTGTAGCAAAACTAATAATAAAAGAGGGGAAATCAGTCACATTAAAATTAGCCTCTGGGAAGGTTCATTTGATATCCAAAAACTGTTCGGCAACAGATGGACAAGTGGGAAATGTTGGAATAAACCAACAAAATTTAGGTAGAGCAGGATCTAAATGTTGGCTAGGTAAACATCATATATCTAATGGTTTGGGCAATGCTACTTTGATGGGATATTAATCATGTTTGTGGAGTCAGGTTGTGCCAAAGTAGAAATACACTGCGCTTCTAATAATAGGTAGGATTTGACAGGGTCTCGGAAAGTCAAGCCCCAATTATTGTTTTCCTGTCGCTCAATATTGTGAGTGTGCCTTTGTTGAACTTGTAACTGGTTTAGATGACTAGGCATTAGTCTATTTTTACTGTAAAATATAGAGCCTCGTTTAATGTGTGTTAAGTATGATACTGATAACATGTTAAGAAGTAGATCTTTAAGTTTAACTCAACCTTACAAAATTAGCTTGAGGTTTGCACCCACTTATGTACTATAAATTGGTCTTATTTCTAATCAATATGAGACTTCCAACTAATACTTTGCAAGAGGTCATAGGTTAAAAATCTCACATCATCGTTGTATCAAAGGAATAAGTGCAGCAAATTGACTTGGTAGAGTTTTGGGTTTGCTGTTATCAAGGTGTTATTTGTGCCAGAAATACCCTGTTTTTTTGGAGATTAAACTCGAGAAAAAAAAAGGGCTGTCTCCTTAAAATAGGGATGTTGTAAGTGCCATATACCTTATGTTAGGTAAGACTTGTCTTGAAATAAAATCCAAATGAGCATCGATACAATGTGCTATGTTTTTTACTTATTTGAATTGTACTGTTATTTGGAAATCATGTCATTTAACATTAAAGCGTTGGTCTAGAACCATGAGGGACAGGTCTAGAGTACAGTTTCTTCTATTAAATAAAGGCAAGGCTGCGCCAAAAAGCTTTGGCACTGCACTGTTTGCAGTCCATTGGTGTACATGGTTGGAAATAGATGCTAGAATTTTCAGTGGAGGGTTTTTTGAGCTTATTAGGGATTGAGAGTATATTGTTTAGCTTCCTTGTGGTGTTCTGCTAAAGATCTTTTCAGGGGATTGTCTACCTTGGATCTTGAGAGATTAACATGTTTTGTTGCATGGTTTGTGATATTTTCATTTTTGGCCTTTTTCTCCTTTTTCTCCTTTGACCCTTCTCAGTTATCAATTTTTCCCCTGAGGATTTCTTATCCTCCAATTTTGTGTCTTTCTCTTAAACTCTTTGTTTATATTAGAAAAAGGTTAATACTAAGTACTGTCAAATGAGCCTCATAAAATGTATTGGTGAAGGAAAAGAGATAGGAAAATCTGTTCTTGTGTTGAGACTTGGCATTTAGTTTTTGAAAGCAATGATAGATGCCAAATGAAAAGCATGTTGGCAGTGTGGTTATGTTTACAAATGACAATTTAGTAATACTCTTACAGTCTAGATTTAGCTAATTATTGTTGACTTGTTTCTTGGTGAGTTATGCATATTTGCTATTGCTATATTAATTACTACATATGGCTGTAAATTCCATTATTTAGCATCATGTTGTTAACTACATATATTAAATTCCTTTTTATTTGCAGGTACGTGTCAATGGACCTAACACAGCACCTGTCTACAAATTCCTTAAAGCAAATAAATCAGGATTTTTGGGTTCTAGGATAAAGTGGAATTTCACCAAGTTTCTGGTTGACAAGGAAGGGAAAGTCCTAAAGCGTTATGGTCCAACCACCTCACCGCTGTCCATTGAAGTATTACTCTCTCTCTCTCTCTCTCTCTCTTATATAAGATTATGCAATCTCACAGGGCACTCTAAGAATATACAATGATATTTTGTGTGAAAAATGTTGATATGTGTGGCTCTTGAAACTTGAAATTATTCTCGTTTGTCTTTACAGAAGGACATCAAGAGGGCATTGGGGGAGGCTTGAAAGACTCTACAATCACTTCAAATTGGTGCTCTCTTGTTGAAGATGATTGAAACACAAGGAATGTATATTTGTAGATGTTTCTTCTAGTGTTGATTTCTTATATATTTCATGTCTAGGGCTTTAGAATTCTGTTTTGGTTTTATGATGTAAATCGTTACTTAAACTGATTAATGAACATTAGTTTGAGTTGTTTGTTTTGATGATTGTGACCTAAAAATGATCTCTCTTTGACTTGGACTCTGGTGTTATTTGACAGAAATTTCCATCCATTATAATTTTCTTTCTGGTGTTGACTCCATTATGGGAAGGTAAGTATTGAAAGAGAGATGTTAATAATGAACACTATTATTTGGTGCATTTCATCTGAGCCATATATTGAACACTAATAATGAATGAATCTTACATGGATTTCATTGGATAGTAAAAAGAGAAGTAAATATGAAATGAAAAATGGGACCCTAGCATCTTATCTTCTATGATAAAATCCCATTCAGATAAACCTCCCTAAATAATTTCCAAAAGGTTAAGCTAAGTTAAAAAGAATAAAGCAATTATGATAGTGAGTGAACCATCTCATTGATTAAGATATATATTACAATGACTACACCTGAACCATGTGACCATTATGACAATCACTCAATCATTTCATACCTTGTTAATGAGAATCAAGATATTATATCTATATATTCTATTTTAACAGTTTCGGCTATATTCATCAAAATAACTATTTCTTTAACTTACTCTAGCAAGGTTTTGTAGTCAATTTTACAATATAATTTCAAACATTTACACTTTTTAGGATATATTAAAAAAATTTCTGAAACACATGTTTCTGGAGATATTCTTAGAAATCATATTTCGGATATCATCGAAAATACATATTTTCCAGAAAGTGTAAGGATATCATCATTTGCTTTCTTGAATTATAATAATAAGTGCACCTATGAAGTATGAGATGAAGAAAGGCATAGTCAGAACATGGGCTCGGCCGCCCCACGAAAAAAGCCCACCTTACATTGTACTGGACTGAACCCTATAAATCATAGGTTATTGTTTCCAGCACCACAACAATTACTAACTTCACCACTGTCACTGCTTCTACCACCGCCACCATCGCACCGCTGCTACAGAAAAAGAAGAGAGGAAGAACAGCATAAAGAAGAAAATAGGAAAAGCAGAAAAAAATTCATTTTAAAAAGTTTTTCCAGAACGTATTTCATGTGTTTCAAAAATACTTTTCAACCACATTTCATGTATGGGTATTCTGAAAAAATCATTTTGAAAGGTATTTAATGAGTTCCGGAATTATTTTTTTCAACATTCCAGTTCTGAAAAATATATTCCGGAATATAATTCATACGCTCTGAAAATTATGTTATGAGAATTTTGTTTCAGGAATTCTGTTTTGGTAATTTTGTTTCAAAAAGCTTTCAAAATATGTAATCTAAAAATAGCTTTTTCAGATAACAAAATGATTATTTCAAAAGTTTGAAGGATGCAGAAAGAAATTATGGGGGTGCAGGGAGTAAAAGCGTATACCATACTAGTGTGGCACAAATCGATGTGGGACCTGCAATAAAACAGAGGTGAGAACCCAGTTTACAATTTGAAGCTTGAACTGGAGAGATGAAAAGAAGGGTTGAAATGAAAGCTTGGTGGTGATGTCATGGCTGCCAGCAAGCTGTTTTGACAGTGACAAGGTTTTGGCTGTGACATGCAGCGACACAGTACACGTGACTGTGGGCATGCATATGCATAAGTAGATTTCATGAATGACTTAGAATGATGATTCTTACTTATATTCTGGCCTCGTGTGGAAATCAGAATGCATGTGTCTTCTCACAGTCACATTCAACAATAACATGAGCATCATGCGATCGGTCGATATTTGTTGCATTATCATTGGTTTCTCTCTGTCCAAGATTCTCTTCTTCCCTCCACACATTCATGTCTTCTCAAGATTTTATTTTCTCACTTACCACTACTTAAGTCTATAAGTTTCTTCCTTTCAACTTTCTACTATGTTCATCTTTATTTCTCAAAAAACTCACATCTACTGTCTTTAACTTACACTGTCTCCATTTATGTATATTTTATATTTGGGATGTAAGTTAAAAGAAAAATTAAATATATTTGTAGTTTTTAATTTTGATGTGAAATTAAAATTAACTTCTGTTTCAAATTTTTGATATAATTTTATTTTCAAGCTTTAAAAATAAATAAATAAAATTATTCTGTTTAATTGTGTTAATTTGATATATCAAATAATGTTTTAGACTAATACTAGAACTCTTTATCCTGTTTGATTAAACTTAAATACAGTTCTAAAATATTGTGATAAAAAAAATTTAGTATTTTTAAATTAAAAGGATTATACTTATTTATTTTTAAAATTTGATGTTTAAATTATATTAAAAATTAAAAATTAAAATATAAAAATTAAAATATAAAAGAATTTGAATTTTGAATTAAAATTTTAAAATTAAAATTATATTTAACAAAAAAAAATCATAAAAATTCAACAAAAAGAATTAATCAAATTTTATTTGTGGCTTCCTTTGTTTGACTCGAACGACGAGGAAAATAAATTAATAAATTAATATAGATTAATATGATGTGTAATATGTGAAGAGAAAACAGAAAAGAATGGTTTTGAAAATTTGTGGGGTTTACTTGTATTAGTTTCTTGTTTAATTTTATTCTTATCTTGTCCAATCAATCATGTTATGAAACTTTTAAAAAAGTCCTTGTTTTTCTTACCTATTGATGTAATGTAGCAATTACAAATATTTACTTGTTTTTCTTTTTGAATTTATTTATATATTCTCTATTAATCCTCCGACATAATCAAGACACTATGGTTGAATGACATGAAGAATAAATAAGTGATAAACATAATTGTTGAAATTAGATAAAAACAAGCGAGGCAAGGTAAATGAGAAGTAATAATGTTTATTAAAAAGAAGTAAAGAAAAAAAAAGAATTTTAGTAAAATGGTAATGAAATTGGAACTTGTCAAAGTTTTCAATCTCTTAAGTATACTATATCTTAGTACAAAAGTAGGGATATAGTATAAGGCGATTATGTTTAGAAAGATTTTCTATACAATGTAAGGTTTTTAGGGCATTGAGAAATAAGAAAAGAAAATTGAATAAAACATTTTAGAAATTGAAATCAACAAATGTAAAGTAAAAATATTTGAAAAATTCTTACAAACAAATTATGATATGTTTTGATGTAAGTCTAAAGGCAGAGGTTCTAGAATATTGAAGGGGACAAAAAGAATTCTTCAAACACAATAATTGTTGGTTTGTCGGATAAATGCTTCGGTTTTATTTTTATATTATATATTCGTTTAAGCTATTGCATTACGGTAATCAAATGCTTCATACTATCATATCAAAACCCTTTGTTAAAAAATTATAAACAAAGTCAACGGTTTTTAAAGTATTTGACAAAAGAAGAGAGTGTATAATAATTTAATTTATTTATTTATAATATTTATCTTTTAATAATTTTAGAAGAGTGTAGGATCTTATTTATGGTTTATTCCATTCAAAATGCATGTTTATAAGCCAAGGAAATTGCATAAATCTCCTAAGATCTTTAGTTTGTACACATAATCTATAAAAAAGAACTTTCTGACATTTAATTTTAACAAGTGTCATCAATCTTATTTAATAGAGTTTTTCAATAAATATCCTAAATAAAATGTCCAAACTTTAGAACAATAACATTACACAATTTTTTTTAAGGAAGGTAACCTAGTGCTACCTAATTTTACAAAAGGAACAAATTTTCATTTTGAAGCATACATACTAGGTATTAACTTTCTTTTTTCATAATAGTGCATTAGATTACATATTAGCATAAATATTAGTGGATCTTAATCAATAATTTTAAAAAAATATTTTAATATATAATTTCTGTATAAAATTATTAGAGTTTGTTTTGTACACATTTTAAGATAACTTAGTTGAGTTTCTCTTTCTTTTTGCATGTTTATTGTACCATTTTTACTTTACATGTGAACATTACTAAAAAATTATAAATTTCTTAATTATTAACAATATCAAGTCATATTCTTGTGTTGAAAGAAGAAGTATGTAAGCTATAAATCTGATTATTATATATCATTTTCACATATGACTTTATAAATAACTAGTACCATGCCACTGATATATACAAACAAGGCATTCTATTAAAGTCTACTTTAAAGTATAGTAGGATCCTTCTTTCTAATGACTCTTTGTGCTTTCATATTAGATAGTTTACTAAATGCGGTAAATCTTGTATATTATAGAAGTGTTTTCGGTAATGTGAATTAAATATGGTTATAAAGTTTTTATTATCGGTTAATTAACTATCTATAATTTTTTAACTTACATGATAATTTTTCCTACAGAAGGCATCTTCAGAATAATTAATTTGATAATTTTTCCTACAGAATTGGCATCTTCAGAATAATTAATTTGTGTACTTAATTTATTACCATCATCAGACTTAAAATTTATATGTATGATTATAAGAATTCTATCGTCTTTATTAACAAGATAAAAATAAAATTTAATTTTTGTTGTTGTTTTTATGATAGTTTAAAAAATTAAAGAAAATTTAATTGAAAAAATAAAACAATAATACAAAATGATAAAGATTAATTGAAATGACTTGATGATACTGATTATAATGAAATAAATGTAAATTTAAAGTAATATAACAAACGAAAGATCTTGGATAGAGTAGATTGAAAACATTAAAATAGTTTGAAAACAAATGAATAAAAATATAAAGAATACATTGATGCATAACATGTACTTTTGAATAACCAAATATAAATAAATGTGATGGAATAATAGGTATAAAATGAAATAAAGTGAATAATTTTAAATGATCGAGAAACTAATGTATAGTGAGAGATAAATAGGTAAATAAAAAAAAGACATCAAGTGTTTTTTCATTAGTAATTATAGTATGCCTTTAGAATTATACATGCTTCTGTAATATGTTTTCTAAAAAATACTAATTCTAACATATACTATTATTTATTTATAGATGGTTGAAATCTAATTTATATAATTAATGACATGTTATTTAACCCCTCTTACACTTTAATCCTGATAAATTTTAGTGACAGATTATGTTATTAAGTGGTCCATTAAAATGAACATAAATATATTTAAATTTATGGTTTTTATTTAAAAAA